AAACTGTTAAAACAGTTAAAATTAATAGGGGGGGGGCGCTAGAAAAAAAGTTGCATGCGGGCGCTAAGGACCCCAGGACCGGCCCTGGGGATATATATCATAGTCTTATAGAACTTACTGAAATATTACGGCCTTACGATATCTAGTTTAATTTTAAAAATTCATCAAAGTTTAAAAAAATGAGTAGTTATTTTGACGTTTGTTAAAATTAAAATTATTTTTTATTTATTTATTTATTTATTTATTTATTTATTTATTTATTTATTTACATATATACATTATTTTCATATCTCAGTCAGACAGAGGTGCCTGGTATGAGAGATTATGAAAAACAGTTTTCATATAATATTTACATTTCATTTGACTATAATATCTATTTCATTAATATAATATCTATATATAACTCTTCAGTCTTCTTTTTCTTCAATTTCCATATAGTACTTCTTTATTTTTCTTTTAAAATTATCATTATCATTGGTCATCTTAATATAGTCTGGCAATTCGTTATATATTTTGGTAGCACTCCATATGACATTTTCTCTCAAATTCTTTTTTCTATTGCGTTCAATGTGAAAATTGTTGTGTTGTCTCGTGTAGTGTTCATGTATATCTTGATTTGTGTCTATTGTTGCACTTGTTTTAATTCGGTTAAATTTCATTTTGTGTATTAGTTTGCATTTCTCTATTTTAATTATGTTATTTAGTGAATGATTATTTGTTTCTCTCTGCAAGTATTTGGTGGGTGTTAGATGTGGTAAATTATATGCTATTTTTATGGCTTTATTCATTATTCTCTGTATGTCATTTAGGTTTGCTTTAGTTGTTTGGCTCCATGTTGTTATGCCATATAAAATTATAGGTATTATTTGCGTTTTAAGAATTAGTATTTTATTTTTTTTGCCGAAAGAGTGGATCCTTTTCAATGCCCCTGTTAATGTTCCTATCTTTCTTTTTATTTTGTTTATATGGTCTGTCCATGTCAGTTTTTCATTTATTATCAGTCCTAAGTATTTTATGCTTTCCACTTCCTCTATTGCTCTATTATTTACTTCAATTTTTAGTTTAGTGTTCTCAGTATTTTTTCTATGTTTGAAATATATGTATTTTGTTTTATCTATGTTAATTGTTAGTTTATTTTCAGTTAGCCACTCGGTGTATATTTTCATGTCCGTGTTTATAATATCTTCGAGTCTTTTTTTATCCTTATCCGCATATACTATCGCTGTATCGTCTGCATATAATATGTATCTTCCCTTTAATTTTGCGTCTTTAAGGTTATTGGTGTATAATAGATACAATAAAGGTCCTAATACAGAACCTTGTGGAACTCCACAGGTTATGTTACATCCTCCACTTGTGAAATTTCCCACCTTCGTCCTTACCACTCTTTTCATGAGGAAATCTTTGATAATGCTGTAAGACAAACCCTCTACACCTAAATCTATTAGTTTATTAAGTAATATGCCATGATCTACTGTATCGAAAGCTTTTTGTAAATCAATAAAAATTGCAACTGTGTGCATATTTTCCTCAAGGTGCTGACTGATGGTATTAGTCAAATCTATTAGGGCACCTTGTGTATTTGATGAAGGGAGGAAACCATATTGATTTTTGTCAATTTTTTGAATGAGAAAATCAAGTAATCTTTTTTTTATTACTTTTTCATATATCTTGGAGAATGTGTTTGTTATTGTTATAGGTCTGTAGTTATTTGGATCTGTTTTGTTTCCTGTTTTGAAAATTGGTTTTATTGTAGCCATTTTAAGACACGATGGAAATACACCACATTCTATGTATCTATTCATTAAAACAGCAAGTAGTGGAGCTATTATATTTATTATTTTTTTAGTGATTCTTGCTGTTATCTTGTCTTCGCCAGGTGCAGCGTTATTTTTCAGATTTTCAACAATTTTTTTTATTTCTTTCTCATCTGTTAATTCAAAAATTTGGATTTTGTTTTTAGGTCTGTGTATTGATGGTTTATAGTTGCAATGATCCATTTTCTTTTGTAGTTTCATACCTATTTCAGCAAAATGTTTGTTGAGATACTCCGCAATGTCTTCCTTTACTGTAAGAAATATATTTTTATCTTTATGCTGTATTTTTTCAATATTTTCTTTATATTCATTTTTATTTTTTCCTCCTCCTAATGTTTTATTTATTAGTTCCCATATTTTTCGAGAGTCACTTTCACATTTTTTTGTTTCTTCTGAATAGTATTGTCTTTTTGCTTTGTAGATCATATTTTTTATATCTTTTTTTATATTATTATATTTCATTTTTATGGCATTATGTTTGCTTACTTCATTTATATTGCATTTCTTTAAATTATTGTAGAATTTGTTTCTGTATTTCATTAAGTTAATAATTTCTTCTGTTATCCAGGTATCTTCTCTGGCTCTTATTGTTTCTTTGATTTTATTTTCTTTTGCTGCATCTTGTATAATTTTTATTAAATCCTCTAATTGGTCCACTATTTTAGAGTCTAACTTACAAGTTATTGTCTTTTCTAATCCTTCTAAATCTATGCTATATCTAATTATTTTATGCATTTTTGGTTTGATTCTCGGCGTATTTTGTATAAATACTGTTATCATTTTGTGATCAGATATTTCTGTGTCTTCTATTTCTATATTAATCTTCTTTTTATAATTTGATATAACATGGTCAATTATTGATTTAGTGTTTTCAGTCTTCCTTGTGGCGTATTGGCTATCTATATTATTTATTATTTTGTATCCTGATGATTCTATAATATCTTTGTAACAATTTGATATATTATTGTTTGGAATTATATCTAAATTCATATCACCTATTATTATTGTATTTTTACCGTTTTCTTCCATTTTTTTTTCTATTAAATTTATCAGATCTTGTTTATTATTATTCGGAGGGTTGTAAATAACAATAAACTTTATAACAGGGTTCATATTTGTTACTTCTATTTCCAGGAGATTTATATTATTTTTATTATTATTTTCTATGACAGTACAGTTTAGTTCATTTCTTACAAATATCGCTATTCCTCCTCCTCTTTTCTTTTCTCTGCAGTTGTAAAAACCTCTAAAATTTTTTAAATTAAAGTATCCTTCTTCTTCTTGGTATATCCAAGTTTCTGTTAATATTAAAATTTGGCAATTTTCATTTTTATGCATAATTATTTCTAAGTCATCTATTTTATTTCTTAAGCTTCTTATATTGAAATACTTAATCTCTATTTTCTTGTTATTGCTATTATATTTATTCATTTTCTTGAATTTGTCCATTGTAATTCGTCGATATTCTTACCATTTTGGCTCTGTGTTGATAACATGAACATTCCGTTTCATTTGCATTATGCACCGTATTAAAATTTGATTTGTATTTTACATTGGCATTTGTGCAGTTTATGCATTTCTTAGATTTGCTCTTACAATCTCTTGTGTTATGCTCATCCGCACAGTTTGCACAGAACGTCTTGTTTTTGCATTCTACTGCCCTGTGTCCATATGCCTGACAGTTATAACATCTTTTTATGTTTAAATCTTCTATTATATGAGCTGTCCTCCATCCTAGATTTACATTATTTTCTAACAATTTTTCGTATGTTTTGCCCGATGTTTCGATATATGTAATCCAATTTTCTGTTTTTCGTGATTTCCTTTGGTATATTAGTTTAATTTGATCTGTGTTATTTATATTGTAATTATATTCTATCATTTCATTTATCAATTCTGTGCCGTCCATATATTGCCTTGGAGCATTTGTTATAACAAGTCGCGGATTTCTTTGTTTCTTTATATATATTTCGTATTCGCTTCCAATTTTTTGTATCATATGTTCTGCTAATGTTTTTGTTTCCTCAATTGTTGAGGCCTTAATTATTAACCCCCCGCTACTAATGTTGTTAATTGATCTTACTTTTGCTTTTACGTTTTTTGGATTTATGTTTTTCTCAATATAGTTTCTAGTTTCATAGCTGTTCTGTTTATTCTTTGGTTTTACAATTATTGGCGGCATATTTGGGTTTATTATGTCTTTATTTTTATAATTTTTATTATTATTATTTTCTGTGGCATTATTTTTACATATTGTAGCATAACTAGATCTTGCATCTTTAATTATTTTAATATCATTCTTTAAAGTTTTAAGCTCATTTACTATTTCTTTCAAATTACTTTCATGTGAATATCTTACCTCATTTTTTTTTGAGCATATGTCACAAAACCATTTTATATTGTTACTTGTGCTGATAACTTTATATTGTTCATTAGTAACTTTCGCACACTTTTTGTGGAACCAACCTTTGCATTCACCTTCACATCCAATAATGTTTTTTCCATTAACATCAATATTACATATACTGCAACATTTTGGATCTTCTACATCTTCCGCCATCTTATCGATCCGATATTTCGGTTTATATGTTATACAAATTAGCAATAAATTGCAAAAATCGTTTTAACGGTTTTTGACATGAAGTTTTTAATTCAAAAAAAACAAAAGCAAAAATTAGATGATTTACTTGGTATAACGATAGAGCACTTGGTCTTAATGAACATACTAAATCATTACTAATTCCTACGAAAACTGGATTAATTATAAGAATTATTAATTTTTGAAAATTTGGTTTTAGAAAATACTCCGAGTTAACGTGTTTGTTCGTTTTCAATTATGTGTAATAAATTCACTGGGAATACTTAATCCACTCATAAATTAATTTGTTTTTTATTGGTTAAGTCGATTATTTACACATATACCAATACAAACTAGTTTGGAATAAATACGTTTCATAATATTGAAAATATTAGAAATAAATAACATAATATAACTGAACGGCAATTCATGAAATTCGTTAATTATTTCAAAGTGTGAACTTGGGTAGATTTAGAAAGTTTCATCATTTAGCCGCTGCGAACGTTCCGGTCGTTCCCAGTGACAGCTCGATCGACGCGCCATGCGCGCCGGCCATGTGCCGGCATGTGCCCGCAGCCCACCTTGCACATATACTTGGTCTAGGTCTATGCTCGAAATGCTCTAATACGACACGAGTGAAACTTGATTACCCTCTACATAGACAAATGACCCTATATAATTACGCACACCATAGAACAAAGATACTACACACGTTTTGACATGGCTGAAAATGTAAACGTAATAGGGGTAAATATTTTCTGAAATATTTGAAAGTCACATTTGAAAGGTTATATTTTGTTTTCTATGCTCGTATAAAGTTTTACAATAAAAATAATTATCAACGTTATCTGCCATATTGACTTTTGTCAAACATATGAGGGTAGAAAACTTTATTTTATGAATACGAATTTTTGCTGCACCGCATTTTATTTTATAGCTCAAAATTGATTAATGCTAAGAAGCATTTTTCAGATTTAGGACATGCTTATATAAGTTTTATTAATTAAATAATGATGGAAGTTCCTTCAAATGTGGTAAGTGAGCTGTTTCATAAATTTGCTATTTATTATTTTATATCATTGTAACTCTTAGGCTGTAGAAGAAAAGACCGAGACGCCAAGTGTCGAACAACCCGAATTTCTATTGAAGCATCCCCTTCAACATACTTGGACGCTTTGGTATTATGAACATGACCGACAAAAAACTTGGGAAGAGAACCAGAGAGAAATTACCAGCTTCAATACTGTTGAGGATTTCTGGAGGTAATACTAATTTCTCATACATACTGTGTATTAAGATTATTTGAAGGTACAATAGTATATGACTTGTGTATTTTACATCAAATTTTTGCCAGCTTTCACCACTATTTTTATATTATTTTTATATCATTTTATTTGTGAATAACTGCATTTTTTCTTTATACTGCTTTTCCTTATAATAATAATTGTTTTTAATTTATTTAAGTGTCTATAATCATATAAAAATGGCTAGCGAGTTGCGCCAGGGTTGTGATTACTCCCTCTTCAAACAAGGTATTCGGCCAATGTGGGAAGATGAGGCGAATAAGCGTGGAGGTCGTTGGGCTATCAACTTGGACAAGAAACAACGAATCAATGACTTGGATAGATTTTGGCTAGACACTGTAAGTATTTTTGGTTATTGTGCAAGTAGTATTATTTGGAACATCTTCACTTTGCATATTAATTATTGTATATTTTGTTTTTTTTTTGAAAGTTGACCAATATTTTATTATAAAATTTACAAAAGTTAAAATTATTTGCAAAAAAATGCTCAAAACCAAGCAAATTTTCTTTAATAGTTATTTTTAATATCAATTGCATTATACAATAGAAGTTTTTTATTCGCGCTTTCTTTATATGCTTTTTCGCTATTTGCGGCCAAAAAAATTGTGACCCAATTCCTATATTCACAGATTTCAAACCAAATGCCGTCATTTTGAACTATAGTAGAACTCCAATTATCCGAATTAATGGGAACCGGGACCCATTCGGATAATCAAATATTCGGATAATCGGAGTTTTTTTTTAAAATTGCCATTGGAGAGAAAAAGAGTTACGTTTTGATATTGCACTATTTTTTTATTGAATTAAATGAAAGAAACATGATATTTTGACATGTTTTAAATATAAATAAAATGTACTTATGTACAAGTTTAGAAATAAAAATCATTGTTTTTTAAACATCTCCGTCAAATCAAAACAAACAATGTGCCTACACTGGCTTCGCTGGTGGAAGAATAATAGCGCACTTAGACTTTTTTCGGGCAATTTTTTTTCTGAAAGTGATTCGGATAATCGGCGATTCGGATAGTCGGAGTTCGGATAATTCGAGTTCTACTGTAATAGGAAAACTTTATCATAAGCCGCCTTTGTTGCCTTGTCCGCTATTGGTGTTTTTGAGAATATAAACTAATAGAATGAACGAACCTAATTTATTACTCAAATCGAAATGAAATTCACATTCCCTGTCCATTGAAGAAGATCAATTGACTTCAAATGCTTCTGCAAGCATAAAAAAGTGACATTTAAGTTGAAAAATCTTATTGTTAGTGAAGAATTAAAAATGAACTGTGGTATTTCCATATGGACATTAATCCATATATGAAAAGTGTTATTTTTCAGAGGCAAATTACTTATGTGACCGAGTATCAGTTTGAATTAAACAAGCAAAACAATATTACAAAGTTCTTCAAATCATTGCCTTAGCCTCAACAAAATCAATCAAAATGTACAAAAACTATAATTAAAAATGATTTTTGTTTTATATATTGCTAAGAACTATTATGTGATATGCAATGTCTTAAGTATAACAGATCTCATATTAAAATTAGTTGGGTTAGACTTTTATTTTAATATTGTTGTAATTAAATATTATTATTTTAATATTATTGTAATTAAAATAAAGTTTTATATTAATGTTAGATTTGATACTAAACTTATTACTGATTAATTTTAATATGGGATCTTTTATACCGCATATTTTATATTGCATATTACGTAATAGTTCTCAACAATATTTGTTTTTCTTTATTTTGTCATCTTGGAACCCATCCCTTGCAATTCCATGTAACATGCCAACCTGTATTTGTGGATTTATTCATTGTTTGCAGATTATTTTGTCATCTTGGAATGTATTCCCTATATCCATATAAAATGCCTTTCTTTATTTTCGAATTCTTTATTGCGGATAAGGAGGTTTTACTGTTATTATATTTGTACACCAAAGAAATATATTTGTGTTTCAGTCAAAAAATGCGATTGGATACAAATACCTTTGCTAATTAATTAAAACTGAATGAATCAAATTTATTCCTGAAAAAAATAAAATGATTGAAAAAATGATTTATTATAACATTCTTTGCTTTCAATGTTTCAATTTTTGTATTATATTAATATAACAATGTGATTTATATATTGTTTTGCAGCTTTTATGTATGATTGGTGAAGCATTTGAAAATTCAGAAGACATATGCGGTGCTGTAGTAAATGTGAGAGCTAAAGGAGATAAAATTGGTTAGTTAATTTGACATTTTTATATATTATTTGTTTTAGAATTACTCAGTGTCTATTGGAATTAACTTATTGTTGTTAATTGTTATATTAATTAATTATTGTTGTAAATAGTTATATTAAACAAATATGTTAATTGTAATATTTTTTCTCATTTTTAATAACATATAATTTTTTTTTAGGTGTGTGGACAAGAGATGCAAGTCATGGTACTTCTGTGATGGAAATTGGCAAGAAGCTTAAAGAAAGGCTGCGGATAGCACCAAAAATTCAGATTGGTTATCAGATTCATAAGGATACTATGGCTAAGTCTGGTTCTGTGACAAAGAATTCTTATATTGTTTGAAAGTTTTTATAAACAAGTTTTTAGTATAAGCTGATAAATTATTATATAACTTACTAATTTTAATTATCGGTGACTAAAGTTGTATTTTAAAATTTTTAGATTTATTACCTGTTTTATATGTATATAAATCAAACATGGAAATATTTTATATTATAAATTTTATCATTTTTAGCATCATACAAAACATTGACAATGTACATACAAAACATAATTGAATTTTAATTAAGATATAATTTAAATATAAATTATGCCTAAATTGTTTAGGAAAATCATTTTTTTTCCCTTTATTTCTTGGTTTTACAGCATTTTGCATGTATATGAAATATGGGGTTTATTTTTTATAGCAGTAATTGTGAGAAATGTATTCTATTATGTAGTGATTGTGGGAGCTTAAGGATAAAATGAACTCTCGACATTTATTCTAAAATTATATGAAGTTTAAGAAAGTGAATCTAATTTTAACAACCAAAATTATTTCAGTAAAATATAATTTATATGGATTCAATCTTACAGGGAGTATGTTATTTTTACTGATATTTCATGCTCACTTTTTTTTTAAAAAACTTTTAGTTATTGTTTATGCAATTATATTTATTTCACAAGATGTATTAAATGGTAGTAATTAAATCTATTTATTTACTATATTTTTCAGATTGTACTATTTGTAAACTGATTGACATTTCTTTAATAATTTCTTTATTGAAATCGATTTCTTTATGTATTAATTTATTATAAACGTTTCATTATACAGTAGTTTACATTATTCATATCATATAGCCTTTATTATTTATTTATTTAACAAGTACTTTTATTATCCAAGTTGTATATGAAAGTGTTAATTTAAACCTTTTAATCTGCATTTCACTTCATTTATATCTGCTCAGGAAAACAAATTGTTGCGAGCAGCAAAAATACTCAATTTTTAATTGGAGGATGGGGGGTGTCCATTAATCACGTGATCGATTTTTTCAAAATTAACTACTCCCCCACCAGACATCACGTGTATTTTTAGTTACGAGTACTACTTTATTTTTTTTTTTGGAAATGTTTGTTTAAAAAAAAATCAGGTAAAAAATATATACATGTGATATCTTACTAGACCCCTCCCTCCCCCCACATGATTAATAGACACCCCCTCCCCATAAAAACCTCACGTGATTAATGGACGCCCCCTTGTTTTGAAACGAATTCTTTAAGAGAGATTACTAGTAATCACTTTCACGTCGATGAGAGAAGTTTATACAAAACTTTTAGGAGTACTAAAATAATTTTAGGTTATTCTGTAAAAGAGAGAAGTAATGGATCAATTACGTGAAGGAAACCGTTAGAAAATTGCTGAAATTTTCATATGATTGTGTAAAGTTATTTTTACGTTGTAACTTAAATAGAATAATGAACATAAATAAAACATTGGACATGGATTATATGTAAGTACATTTTCTAAAATAAATAATTGTCGAATGATTATTATAAACGTCGCGGCCTGCATTTTAGGCTAGTTCCATGTTTTTAAGGGGTACACCTAGTGTGACAACCTAAAAAAAAGACCATTTATGGGAATTTTAAAAAAACTAGTGAGTCCATCCATTTAAAATTTTGAGAAGTGTTGTCTTCTATTGATAATGAATTTTATGCTAACTACCGCCTTGTCAATTATTCATACGAGGCCTCCGGGCCAGGGAAGCAACCAACAGGCTTAAGGGGTTACAAAACTGTAAATTTTTCGAAAAACCAAAAAAAAAAATTAGGCTTAAAATATACTTTGAACCTGTTAGAAAATGAGGAGAAATATTTCATACCTAATAGGTTCTTTTTTTACATGCTCATAGCATTTTTCCATGCGCGTCAGACTGCTCCGAAACGACACCGCTCAAATAGACAAATACATTAACAAACTAGCTGTAAGTGGAATTCTGTCTTAAGGCAATTAAGGCATCGTGCCTTAAGGCAAATTGCTGGAACTTCCCGTACCAAAAATTATTTTTTTAAAAACGATTAACATTTTTGAAAAAATTTTACTTCAAAAAAATTAGATTTTTGAGAAACTATAAATTTGACAAAAAATTACTTTTTTTTAAAAAAAAAATTTTTTTTTGAAAAATAATTTTTTTTTTTTTGAAAACAATTTTTTTTTGAAAAGAAAAATGTTTTCTTCATTTTGACATATTTTGGAAATTCTGAACTTTTTTTCAAAGCAATCGTACTGCTTGAACTGCATAGAGACGAAATGTCAAAGCTCGCAAGTGCCGCGCCGCCGTCTAACGCATAAGCATTGGTACGGAACCCATAGAAATGTAAAAAAAATATACTTATTGTTAAAATCTCTATAAAATATCTGATAATTGGATGTGCATATGTCTAATGATCATTTTTATCCGCCAAATGGCTAATTTTTTTACTTTTTCCTCCATATCTCCGAAACCGCTAGACCTGCCTTCATGAAAATTTCATTAATTCTTCATCTTGTCAATACAAATGAAATGTTTTTTGAATTATTCACATCGGACGCTCCGTTCTCTTAAAAACTGAGTTACCGTTTTCGGCACTTTTTGTCCCGTATCTCCGGAACGGCTAGACCTGCCTTCGCCAAAAACTAATCAGCACGTCTCCTTATCAATACGAATCGAATGTTTTTTGAATTATTTAAATCGGTTGATTCGTGTTCCCGAAATCGTCATACATACACACATACACACACACACACACACACACACACATACATCCATTTTTTCTAAGGTATGCCAAAATATTCAGAAACCTTTGAAACGTCGAGAAATGCAAAAATTTTCATTTTCGATTTTTTTGCGATTACTATAACTTGCCCTACGGGAAGTTAACTAGTTGGTATTGGTATTTAGCCTTGAGGCAAGTTACATGAACTTCCCGATATGTGTAATTAATCGACTTAATCCATGATAAATAAATTAATTTATGAGTGATTAGAAGTATTCTGAGTGAATTTATTACACATAATTGAGAACGAACGAACACGTTAATTCGAAGTATTTTCTAGAAGCAAATTTACGATTTTTATATTTTAATCAGTTTCCGTAGGACTTTAATGGTTTATTAATACCAAGTACTTTAACGTTATACTAAAGTAAATCGTCTAATTTAAATTTTAACAAACATCAAAAAAACTACTCATTTTCTCAAACTTTGATGAATTTTTAAAATTAAACTACTTGTCGTAAGGCCGTACTATTTCAGTAAGTTCTATAAGACCATGATATATATCGCCAAAAAAAGTTCCATAAAAATTGGCCCAAATTTTTTTTCAACTGTTAATTACAAGAAAACGGCTCGGTAGCTTTTCACCTAAAACTAATCAGTATCATTCTCAACTAATATCTTTCGAACAGTTTTTGATTTTTTAAAATCGATTCGGTAGCATTGGCTTAAATGTGGACGAAAAGTTTAACACTTCTTTCCAAATTACAAAGAAACGGCTCGTCAGATCGTCGCACAAAACTGACAAACGATAATCCTCATCGAGATACATCAAATGGCTTTTAAATTTTAGAAATCTGTTTAGGCGTTTCTGAGCAAACGTCAATGAAAATTCTAGTTTTGACAAACGTCAAAAAGACGATAGTAATTTTTGCAAATTTTGACGAATTTTTAAAATTAAACGACTTGCCGTAGGGCCGTAATATTTTAGTATGATCTATTGATCTATAATAGTATGGTATCTAACATTAAAAAAAATTCATAAAAATCGTCGAAAAAAATTTTTTTAAGAATTTATTACAAGAAAACCGCCCGGCTGATCTTCACCAAAAACTAAGGTCGATTCCCAACCAATATCGAACGGTTTTTGAATTTTCGAAATCGATTCAAAATTGCGGGCTAAAACGTGGACGAAATTTTTTTCACTTTTCTGCGATTTACAAAGAAACGGCTCGGCCGATCGTCGCACAAAACTGAGAAACGCTAGCCTTCATCGAGATACATGGCCTTTAAATTTTTGAATTCGGTCCAGCCGTTTTTGAGAAAACGTCGATTTACGGCAAAAAATCTGTTCACACACACACACACAAACACATACTTTTTCCAAAGTTGGTCTCATTCGATTCAGAATGGCTTGAACCGTCGAGAAAACATAAAATTAGCAAATCGAATTTTTTTGGTGAAAACATAAACTTCTTCGGGAAGTTAAAAACATTAAAAAGCAAAATGATCACATAATCACATATATCTTCTTAAATATACTAACATATGTTATTATAAAGCATTTATCTATTATATAAAAATAAGTCGGGTTTTCCTTCCTGACGATATAACTCCAAAACGCACGAACCGATTTCGACGATTTTGCATTCGTTGGAAAGGTCTCAGACTCCGTGAGGTTTATAGCAAAGAAAATTGAAGAAAGATTTCAACAGAAAAACGGAAAACACTTTCTTTTTTCACATACAGCGTCATCTCTGATACTTAGCATGCACTACAAACTAATATTTTTTGTTTGACTGATACTCATTTGTTTGATAGCTACTCATTGTTCTCTGTTCAGTTAATTTCATGTGACAAACCGACATTGTTTTCACTGTGAAATTGTGCAAAACAAGTAAAAAAAATATGTTATTTGTTTCCTGACATTTTAATTGGAAACCACCAAATCAATCACGTGTATTGTGCAAATTTTTATTCAATTTCAACAGCAGGCAATTTTTATCTTTATCTTTTAATCACCAAACGAAATGTTACATAAAATGAAACAATCTGGTGGTCAAACGGAGTTCGCCCGGTTTGCTAGTATTGTATAAATGGGCTCGCCCGTAGGTAAGCGGTTAAGAGCGACGGGACTTGTTTCAGAGGTCCCGGGTTCGATACCCACTTCGAGCAGCCTGTTGTCAGGCAACAGTAACAACGATTTTCACTTGAAAATATAAATAGCAATATGTTTCCAAGTGAAAATAGCCCTCACCCGGGATTGTTGCACCGTACTTGCCCTATTACAGAGATTGTAATAAAAATTTATCATACAGAGATGTGACAACTGTTTGGGTTGCCATCTGTAATAAAACAAACATAGTTTGTAAGATATTAATCACAACAGCTCATAGAACC